TTCGTATAATACAATCATATTTAATGTATCGATTTTACTATCTTGTAAAGCTTATAAAAGCAAAAACAGATTCAGAGTTACACAGATGCTCAACAAAAGCTTATAGATCCTGTTGGAGGTGTAGTGTTCAGTTCCGATTAGTTCCTAGTTTTAACGCACGTTTTCGATTGTACGTCTTGCAAAAACTCTTTTTTTTTCTCAAGATACGTTATTTCCAATAGACGATAATGTTTACGTACTGCGACAATGGATTTTCCTATCTTGCAAAAACATTAATATTTATGCTTAATTTTCTACTACTAAACGTGTGTGCATTCGTACATATTTACGACAATATTAACCACATCTGTCAGAAAATATTTTCCAAACATTTCGTCTGCACTTAATGCACACACATTTAATACATGCAATTAAAACCAGTATCCAAGTTACTTTTATAAATAAAGCGGAGAAAAGCTCAGAATTATTTCGGATTAAACAACTGACGGAAATAAAGAAACAGTCCTCTAAATACGCGCTTTTGTGCATTGGTGAAATCAATAGATCTCAGACGTTATCTAATGGTGGCGCGTAGCTAAACTATTGGCATCGATGCACTCTAGTCTGTGATGCAAAGCTAGGCGAAAACTGTCCGGAGAAGTAATTATTTTGTAAATATATTAAGGTTTATGCTTATGAATCATAGCCTACAGTACTCCAATCCTTTAAAGGAAGATTTTCATCGGTATTAGTCAGTAGATTCAGAGATACTCGCGCTGTAAGCCTCGCTTTTGTCTTTATATATTAGTATAGTGTAACCACCGACTCACCCGATTACCTGATTCCTTCGGCAATTCGGCTTTGCCCGGCTGCTTCGTCGGCAGACTCCCTAGAGGGAGGTATGCATGATTGCCTAACTACTAGAGAGAACAACGTAGGCATTTTCATAACACTACTTTAATCACTTTAGTATTGGGTGTGGGTAAAGCCCAGTAACATGAATAAACTTGCAACTAACTTAAAACTAATCTTAACTTAGTAAAGGCCGGTATGGCCAGAGTTCATCTTAGCTCCGGTGACTTTGCCCTCCCGGGCGGTCGTCATCCAGCTCACAGGTGCGTCGTTCGGGCGTCCCAGCGCCCGGCAGATCTGGCGGCGAGCGTCGACGGTCAGCTTGCCCCAGGTCCCTTTGTGGTGGTCACGGCGGCGGCCCCGGATTAGGCCAGCGGCGGACGCGCTGTTATGTCCCAAGGCCATTATGGGTCGCAGCAACGCGTGCCAGGAAATAACCCATGGGTATAACCAATGAGCAAAACTGATAGAACAAGTAATCTAATAATTCTTAACGTGCCTTGTTCTACCAATGTCCCGTATCAGCACAGAAACAGAGCTAATATCACCTTGTCGACGTCTAGCAATCCCACGAATCGGGGACGTCCCAGGGACCCAGAGTTGGCAGTAGCTCGAAGCTATCGTCAGAGATGGATACGGGATGAATTGAAGGAGGTGATGTGGTGCTTGTACGCAAAAACGAAAAATAGGGGCTCACGAATAGATGTTTTCAAGATATGGAGATAGCGAAACCCAGATATTAGACCAACCTAGAAACTTGCCAGTCAACGACGATATACTCAGCAGCGGAAAATTCACACCAGAACTTGCTGACATTCAGGGGAATGCAGAGTATGTTCTTCGATCGAACTACCAACATAAACATTTGGAACCATCTAAAATCCCTGAAAATGATGGTCCTGTTGAAGGTTCATCTCTTCCCAATGAAACATCCGTCAGTGGTGAAAATTCATCTGGTAATGAATCACACGATAATGACGTGATTCGAAATCTCCTTCGACGCGACATAGACTTCGTCTACTTCCATTCGAATTCGTGCACTGTTGAGAATATTCAAAAATTCCAAAGCTAAGAGAGTGATCGATACAGCGAATTCTGTCTTAAATGAGGTGGTACAGACCCCAGATAGAAATCTTGATATTACTGAAATCAATCATATTGTGTATGTAACTGAATCTCTGGTTTCTCAGATAATTTTGGGGCCAGCCAGGAAAACCGACTGCCGACAGCCAAATGGATTAAACAGCTCCGTCGTACCCCCATGAGAGAATTATGAAACGGATAGCTGACACTCGTCGTGAAATATCACTCTTAGCCCAGGCATCTTCTATGAGACACTTCTAAAGTTCAATGAAAAACACTCCATGTTGAACAAAAATACCAAATTACAAATTATTGTAGCTGGGAAGCTACAATAGAAAATCCAAATATGTGCTCAACGCATTAGTCGTTACAAAAGTAGAGGAGACTTTTCATGTACAAGATCGGTCGTTTGAAACAGATGCGAAGAGATTTTATCGCTAACTCAAAAACCGAATGCCAGTGCTGTTCGTCCTTCAAAGGATGACTTCGAATTATTTTGGTCAAAATCTGGAAAGAAAGCAGATACTACAACAGAGACGCTTCTTGGCTTCAATCTGAAGTTGATGCTACCGATAAACTTGTGGAAACAGTGGAACATGTTCACGAATTCTCGGAAGAGGATCTCTTCCAAGCAATTAACAACATGGGAACTGGAAATCCCTCAGGGTTGATAAGATCCATAGTTTATTGGCTTAGAAATTAACGCAGTCTTACGCTTTTTCCTGCCAAAAATCCATCCCTTTCACTTTCCTTACGTTCTCCACCCCCACCCTTATTTCGAACTCTCTTACACCCCCCTCTGATCCTACTCCCGTTTCTCCCATTCCCACCACCAATTCACCTACACTGATGCCCCAATTTCCTCACAACCTCCCACTGCTGGGACACATTACAACCATCGACTTCGCACTCAAGGTAAAAATGGAGTAAATATATAGCAACTACACTCAGATGCAACAGAAACACATTAGTGTAGGTATTTGCAAAAGATAAACATACTGCACCATAATGTTCAATCCCTTTCAAAAAAACTGAGTTTATCGAAGCAGCTCAACACAGTTATTTAAATCAAATGGGTGTTCTTTTCTTTACAGAACATTGGTTAGTTCATAATGAACTTAGCATTTCCCAAATTCCAAACTTTTACCTCACAGACTATTATTGTAGAGAAAAGGAATCGCATAAAGGTCCTCCATATGGGGGTTCTTGCTCTACGTTAGAAATAATATAGATTCTACTTGACGGAATTAAACGTGTATTCCGTTGAAAATGTTTTTTGAAATATCTGTAGTACATCTTCTCATGCTACAAAGTATATTACTTTGCATCTACAGGCCTCTAACAACGAGAGCAGTAGATTATATTATGTTCTTAAAAAAACTTTAAATGACACTAAACAAAGTCAACAATCGCTCTATTGAGTCCATTGTTGTATGCGGAGATTTTAACATTGATTTTCTGGTCGAATCTTCCGAGAAAGAGCAGTTTTTCAACTTAATTCATTCCTTCTGTTTAGATATTACAATAAATGTGCCTACATGGATCAGACTAATTTCAAAGGCTATCAATCAAACAATAATTAACAAAACTACTGCTCGGTAAGAAATTGAAACATAAGATTTAGGATACAGTGATCACGATGCGCAAATTCTTACCATTGTAAGAAATTCGAACACAGTCGCATTATATAATACACGTATGAGTAAATTGTTCACTGAAAGTAAAATAAAATGATTCATAAATTACTTGCTGCAAGAATCATGGGACGCAGTTCACCCGAAAAAAAGAACCGTTGGAGTATACCAGTTGCATGATACAGTAACATAGAAACTTGTTACAGTATCATGGATCTGATATACTCCAACGGTTCTTTTTTTCGGTAAACGTTTTCATTTCATTTTAACACTTGCTTTCCTCTTCAAAAAAGAAAATTAAATTGTTCACAGAAAAGCAATTCTTGGATAACACAAGGGATGACGTCGACGTGTAAAAACAAACGCATTCTTTCTTTCATTTCTAAGCATCATAACGTATCTCAAGACTTCTTCCTCTACTTTAAAAAATACAAATCATTGTTAAGAAAAGTCATAAGGCAGGCTAAAATCATGAAACATGAACAGGATATTTTGAACTCAAATAATAAAACATAAGCAATGTGGAATATAGTAAAAAAATTCGAGCAAATCAACAAGAAACCTTGTAGAGAATGTTGTTTTGAAAGATAACTATAAAAATGTGAACGATCCGGCAACAGTCCCGTCAGCAAAAATCCCATATCGATCAGGTTTTTGCTCAGTTTCCCTGATCCATGAGCAAATGCAGAGGTACCCCTTGTTTTGCTTCTGGACATGAATGTAATTCCAAATGAATTTCTCCCCATCGCACGTCCCACACAGTTTTTAACTCTTTTTGACGTAAATAAATAAAAATACAGCATTACATTCTCATCTAACAAAAGTTGTTAATAAATTTTTAGAAAATCTAAATGAATTCGGGGAATGGCTCACACGCGGCATCACGTATTTGCTACCCAAAGCGGGAGACAGCTCTTCGGCGAAGAACTATAGGACAATCACATGTCTAAGAGTAATGTACAAAGTTATAACTGCAGCCATAGCTAACAAAATGTACAAATACCTAGAGAACAACTATACTGCCGGTTGAACAGAAAGAATGTAGTAATGTTTCCTATTACTTTAAGGAAATCTTGCTACTAAATAACGTCATCTTGAATAAGGTAAGAAAACTGAAACGTAATTTAAGTGTGGCATGGATTGGCTACTATTGTACGATTTTTTTTAACTGTGCACTTTCACACTGGCATTATGCCGACTTACAATGCTCTAGGAAATCATATGTGAATACAAGACTTTCCCGCCACCCAAAACTTTCCTACCCAAAACAAGTGACCATGGAAGAAAACTACTTGTTCCATGGTGTTACCAACGCCACCTATTGTAAAGATGTAATTAGAATTATATTAAAAAATAATAATAACTATTATTATATCACAAGTATATTAAAAAGAGTATATCAAAAGTATACATTAAAAACTAATTGAATGAACACAAAAGTATGCATGTGTATGCCATGGATATATATTTACTCCGTGAAATTCACTGGTATTTTTCTGGAATGAGCCGGCATGGATCGGCCATTTCAATCGGCGATCTGAAGCAGTAAAGAACTAGGTGGATTGGACTGGTAATTGACTGGGACGATAGCTTCGGTAAGTGAGAATTTGGTTTCCACGTCTCTCTGTGAATTTGTTTGCAAATAGGACTTTCAGTAATGTTAGTATTTGTTCTTATATGGTAAATGTTTGAAATTACATAGGTTAAATGGTTTAGGTAACCACGTGTCTGCCTGTTCGGTTAATCGGTATTTTGTGAATTGTTTTACTTTGTTCAAGTGTTACTATTATTCATTAATAATATTTATATTATTTATTACTACAATGTATACGACTCCTTTTTTCACTTTTCCTCCCACCCTCCGGACTACAAAAATGCGTGCATGGAGGAACACGTGGCTCGCTTGTTAAATCCGCTGTAAAGCCAGTAATTCCTTATTTGAATCGATCTTTTTTGTTGTGTTGATCCTGATTACATGTGTGTGGAGTAGTTTTGGGGAAAAATTGTAATGTAGACAATTTTAGGTTACAGATGCTCGTCAAGGATCTTAATTCGTGCCGTCTCAACGCATGAAGGAATACATTCTTAACGTGCTGCTTTTCAGTAGTATTGTTGTGGTCTTTCTGGCTTCTAAACACTAGAACGGTTAACTTTACTCTTTCAATTATTCAATCATAGTAGTCAAATTATATTGTAATTTTGATATGCACGTTATATATTGTGCCTATTTGTTTTCGTAGATTCAATAGTTTGCTGCCTTCTTAAAAATAGTTTTATAATTTTTTCATTACTTTTTGTGGTGTTGAATGCTTCTGAATTATTATAGAGAAAATTTGTGCTTAACTTCAAAAAGTTTAGCCACTTTATAGGATTTTAAATTTTCGTGATTATAATGTGAAATCGCTGCACGCCATCTGAGGTAGGAATGTTTTCAGCCTTGTATGATTTAGTATTGCCCCAGAATTCTGAGTTAGGGGTCAGTTTCTTTGTGAACTTGAATCATTGATAATTCTTCTCATAAAATAGTATCAATTTTGGGACCTACATCACGAAATGTTTTCAGAACCGAAGTTGCTTGGATGCCAAGATGTTTACTGTTTTTACATATTCTATAGTCATTTATTAAAAACGACTTTTTTTTAATTTTGTGAAAATAAGAGGATTTTGTTTGCCTAAAAACATTTAACTTCAAGGTCTCAAGTTCACACTTTTTATTTTATTTTCCCCAATGGTGTAATGAGTTCCAATAAGTTTTTCCTATTTTTAAGAACTTGCATATCTGAATCTTTTATGAATGTAGTTTTATTTCAACATTCTCTAACCTACTTTTTACTATGGTTCAATATTCATAGCTTGATATTGTAAATCCCATTTTTCTGCTTCTCATTTTGTCATCAGCCTCACCAGAAATGAGCATGTGTATTCCTGATTTTCTCCCCTCCACACATGCACACACAATTCTGATGCTAGTGTCTTTTTCTTTGAAGAGTCATTAAGGCACAATTAGATATCTTACTGAAGTTTCTTTGGGGGAGCCACTTCAGGTTGGCTTTTAGTCTCTTGTCTTGTCTTTTCATGAGCACAACCTGCCAGCTATTTTTTTTCTTTTCTGGATAGAGCCCTAATGCTTATGAAAATTTTGATGTGAGAGATAATGTTGTAGGTTTACATTTGCACAATCTCTGCTGTAATCATTCAGTGAGATATATGTAGAAAAAACCGTGCAAATTTCAGAAAATTCAAACAAAATGCAGAATGGAGGGAAAATGATTATTTTTTACTGTATAGGGAATTGTGTTATTACTGAAGATCTAAAATTATTAAAACAAGTTGTCGAAATGAAACTTCATTATACACAGTAGTTACCAGTGCAATAAATGTTTATATATGCTGTAATTTTCACTTGGAACAACTTGCATAATCAGTAAACGTTTTTCCCCATAAGTGACTGAATCTCCTTGAGTGTACGATGACTATGCCATTTGCCTGGTAATCTTATAGATTGTTTTTTGTTGTTTGGATTATTTTTCACTGACATAAATAATTTATAAATTTGATAATATTATTTGATTGATATTATGTTAATTTATAAATATTCTGTAATTTATTTATGAAGCATAGAGGATAGCTGCAGTGGGACCAAAAAAGCGTTATGGAATAACAGAAAGAAAAGTGCCTAATATCCATTTAAATAATGCTTTTCAGTTTTACTGAGATGGCCCCTAATAGCTTGAAAACACTTCAATCTGCCTGTTACCAGTTTGTACAGCATGAACTGTGCTCTACCACCTAGTTTCCCATTAAGTAGTCCCACTTCTTTGAAAGTAAAAATTTTCTTCTGAGCTCCCTATCGTAGCTTTCCTAAGCCTTACAGACTGACAATGGCTCAACCCACTCTATCTTGCAATGAATCCAATAGCAGAAGCAAGTGAATACACATTTTCCTTTTCAATTTCGAATACAAACTGACACATTGCCTTTCAGTGCACTGTTTAGTCTGCATATTAAATTAATCTGTTCCTGTGTTGCTTTCTGTTGGTGTGGGGGGCATAAATCAGAATGGTTTGAATTTAGTTTGTAATATATCTTGGTTACTTGCTAGGTTGAATTTCATTGCTTGTTCTTTTCCTGATCATGATTGCCACGGGACCTTCTGTCCTGAGTTATAGATTGTTTTATTTTAGTAAGTATCTGGCCTCTTGCTGTATGTCCTCACTTGTACCTTGAATATCTGCTGCTTCTAGTTGATTCATCATTTATTACATTCAGATGTGCAGCCTTCTAAAAGTCCATGCATTTATTTGAGATTTTGTTGGATTTGCCGAGTTTTTGTATTTTTAGTGTTTGCTTTAAAATTGAATTAAGATTTATTCTCTAAATATTGGTGTTAAATGGTTCAAAAGTAGTTCAGAAAATACTGAAACTGGCAACTTTCGTGTAATATAATATGGTTTTAGATTCTAGGTATATTGATATTGGGCAATGTGTTGCAGGTGTTAGCTGGACGAAGCTGAAACGCTGGAGCAAAGAGCTGGATGAAATGGCTGTACATAAACCGGTTTTTGGTGAGTGGTGTTATTATTATTCCTGACTTCACGTACTTTGTACTAAATGATGAGTAATTATGGAGTATTTGCTACCTGAAAGTAGTGTTGAAATGGAAAGACTGATGCAAAATCGTTGAGGTTCTTTCATAAGAATAAGTTTAGATTTGTTTACAAATTCAGAATGTTTGTTGCAGAGTTCAGCATTTGTTGCAGATTGTTCAGCATTTCCAATCTACATGAAAATCGATGAAGCCTGATTCAAAGGTTGTCTTGGCAACCTTGGTGTTGCAATCCTGCAACTGATAGCTCTATCATAAAGTTGGACGTTTTGAGGTTATGTCAAAACATTCTGAGTGCTATTTGTACTATTTACAGTAACTTAAATGATTCATCTTGGCCCAAAAATGGTATTAAACCATGAACGTTTTCGCATGATTATTTTTTACAACTTACGATGTGGATTAACTCGGCAACAGTGCATTGATGAACTTAATTCAATTTTTGGCAATGAAGCTCCATCAAGGACCAGTTTTTATCGATGGTATGGTGAATTCAATCGTGGTCATAATTCACTAAAGACAAAATTCACAAAGGTCGTCCAAAATCAGTTGATCCAAAAACCATTGATGCTGTGCGTGAACTGATATTGCAAGATCGTCATGTGACTAATCCTGAAATTTAAAGGGCAGCCCTCGTAAAGAAATGAAGTAAACCCCAGATTCAGAGTTTGGAATGGATGAAATGAACCTTTGCATGTTAAATGTTAATGAAGGTTTACAAAGACTGCTTGTGATAATTCAGGTAAGTTTTTCTTTACTTTTAATGATGCTTTGAAGTAGAGGGAGTACTTTTTAGTTGGAATGGTTGAAATAATATAAAATTGAAATCTGCACCATCTGTAATTAAATTCTTAGATTTAAAGCTTAGGCATTGATTGTTCTGATATTGGCCTACTAAGATTTTGAGCAGGTTCTGAAGGAAACATGATTTTGGCTTCCTTCTCACAAACAAATGGAAGATTTCACTAATTGACCTTTGGGAAAATGATGATTAATTCAGAGTATTTGCTGCCTGAAAGTAGTGTTGAAATTAGAAATCTGATTCAAAATTGGTCAGGTTACTGGTTAAGAAAAGGTTTGATACGTTTACAAATGAAGTTTCTTTGTTGCAGATCGTAATTGGAGTTGGAATCACTTGATCAAAAATTAAACTAACCCCATGATAATTGAAAGTAAGAATGAAGAAAATATCTTCTGCTAGTGATAATTAGGTAAGAATTAAATCTGGAAAGGTAAAATACTTTTTGAATGAGGTGGCATCTATTGACTTGTTCTTAAAGAAACAATAACTTAAAATTTGTAATGATGATTCATATTTGCTACTCCTAATTGTATTTGTGGAAAACAAAAAACTACCAAGATATTTACTGACTTAGTGAAATTAATGATTGGTCACATGTGGAGTTTCCAGTGTTTACAAACTTATTTTTTCCAGGTCACTAATGGAGTTGAATGCTGTAAAACAAGGTTATTTTAATCTACAGGTAATTATTTCTCTGTAGTGAAGGCAAAGGTTCTTTTCTAATAGGTGCATCTTAATTTTCACTTATGAGCATCAATTAAATTTCATTGCATGTTCTGGAGATATTACAGGTCTTGCTGTTCTAAATAATTCTGTTATTAATCTCAAGAATTTTACTAACCACATCACCATAGTCAAAAAAAAAAGAACACTTAATTTGATAAATTGATAAAAAGAGGGACCTTTCACACGTTCACTTTGTGTAATGGAAATATTTAAGTCTCCTCTAATTTTTTCAAAATCTGTCTTTTTCATGACCACACTTTTTAAATGTGTTTCGGGATGCTGTTTAAATTTAGTCTTCTCAAATGGAATTGGTGTAAAATTTTGAGATTGCTAAAACTAAGGGGAACAATTTAAATATAAAAAAAAAACAATATTTTTGACATTCTACCTCCTCTTCAGTTCATGTGTGAAGTTTTGTGCAAATCTGCCAGATACTTTTTTCCTCTAATACATTAGGAAAACAAAATAAATTTGGAAAACTGTAAAAAAAATGTACATTTGTAGCAATAGATAGCAGTGGTGGGTGGAAAGTCTGAAAAGCTAGCCTGGACCACAGACATTAAAAAAGTGTCTGCCATTCTGTAGCATGTAGTAACTACTTGAGATACGAGTTCTCAAATATTATTAACTATAGTTTTGCTGGTCCAACTAGTTAGTGGTGGTTGTTTCCTTGCTGTTGAAAGTAGGTGTTGAAATTCCAGCAAGAGCAAACACTTGCACTGATTTTATTAATGCTGTATTTTGCCATTAAAATGGGTAATGTGCTGTAGTGTCACTGGCTTTTATTTCTAATTGGGTAGCTGCATGTCACTATTAAACTCTTCTAAAAGAGATTGTTACATGAAAATAAATTTTGATGTTCGTTTACATGTTGCAGATGTCCACACATCATACTAGAATGTTTTTAAAGAACTGGCGGAGATAGTTTTGGTGAGCAATGTTTTTCTTTTAATACTACGAATAATCCCTACTTACCTAATTTGTCCATTAGAAAATGATGATTTTAATTTATGGAGTATTTGCTACCTGAAAGTAGTGTTGAAACTGGAAGACTGATGCAAACATAGAGATTTTAATCTTTCAGGAATGTTAGATTGGTTTATAAATTCAGCTTCTTGGTTGCAGATAATTGGTTTTGTATTACCATCTAATTTGTCAACTAATGAAGTAATGGATCGCCACAGTAGAGGTGTTGTATCACCAAACAAGTTTTAGAATGGATAAAAGTGGCCATCATTTAGAAATAGTTTTGAGCCCATTCATTACCTTGGGAATTCGGAATTCTATTATGCAGCAGTGTTTGAATGAATTGTGCATAATGAAAACTTTCTTCAAAGTTATTTATCAACTCTTCATGATGAAGGTAGGTTTAATCATAGATTTTTAAACTATTGGAGAAGGGGGGGGGGTAGTGGGACAAATACCAGTTATGGCTAACTTTTACATAAAATATTGTACTTTGTATTCTGTTATCACTTGAACACATGCAGATACAATTCCCAATTAATAATTAAATAAAAGTTAATGACGTGTTGGACTGCTTACTAAATTTGAAGTTAATGAGGAAATTAAAATTTATAATTGGAATTTCAAAACAATATAAGCAGGTATGCTGAATTGGTGAATAATCTTTATGGAAAGTCAAATTTTGGATGTTCACTTTGTATCAGTTTAATACTGCACTGAACCATGCATGTGTAGTATTTTTTTCTTCACATTAAGATTAGTTTGAAGATTTTAACATGCTTATGTGTTAATGATGATAAATTTATCCTGAGATAATCTGATGTTTTTACTACCAAGATCTCTGATTTAAAGCTTTACTGTAAATGAGAGGTGGCTGTCAAATCTGGATTTCTTAAAATCTCTTTTGTTTTAGGCTGACTGAGATGTGGGCTCAAACTTCCTGTAAATGATTTTGAGGTGAGTTAATGATTCCAAAATAGATTTTTGAAATTACCATAAAGTGGTTAATTGATCAATTGACTGTCCTTGGAAAATAGTCATTAGTAATAAGTCAGTCTTGAGAATTTAAATAGATCTTCAATTTTAAAGGTCAGTTATATTTGGAACATCCATTTAGACATGGTACTCATGAGATCCTTAGTAACAGTAATGTGGACAAATGTTAATAACATTATTTATGATTTAATTCAATTAGTTCATGTCTGCGATCTGGTTAATGTGCTTAGGTAATCCATGACTAAAGACTAAGTGTCTTGCATACAGAAGTTTCAAAATCAGCTTATGTTGATAAAGAACTAAATGCTAGATGTTTCAACATACTTGTATTTGCGTGTTAAGGAAATGTTAACTGCTCGATATTATGACTTCAGAATGACACCCTATTTCCTTCCTCTGCTCTTAATTGGAACCAAAAGATTGTTTTTTGCTAGCCTCTAGTACAGTGGGGTCAGCAGCACCTCATAATTTTTGGTAGGATGTTCTGCACTATCATTCTCAGTATATTAAATTGGTTTTAATTTTTCTTATTAGAGCATTGCTAAACATGGACTCCAGTCATTGCAAAAGTGCAGGAATGTTAAAAGCTTTGGTTACCTAGGATTTCTGTCAATATTACCATAATTAGTTCCTACAATGTAAAAAAACATCAAACTTCACAAAATGATTCTCATTTCTACATCAGGTTTTAATGGACTGGCTTAATCATAAAATGCTTCTCTCATCAAATTCTGTTAAAATTATGGCACATGCCCCTCTTGATTTAAAATTAGTATAGTTCACAAAGCACTGAAAGCCAGAACCCTGCCATATGCTAAGACTGATGTCTCATCTATCTTTAGAAAAGTCTCATAAACACAATTTTACTAGTTCAGAGAAAAATATTGAGCCTTCCTCAACAAATACAAGACTTTGTTTTCTTAATGAGATACTAAATCCTAGCTCATAGTATGCACATAGTTTGCAAGACTTCTTTGAGTCATACAAATTGACTAAAGACTTGATAGTAGATGGTTAATGTAAAAGGTTTCATCCTTCAAAATTCACACAATGATGCTAGAATTTCTTCACCTGACAATACTGGAGAAAATGACATTCTGAGTGGTTTCATTTGCTTTCTTCTCATTATCAAGACCTATCATCCGCTCACTACTGTTTTGTTTTACAGGTCATCCGTTTTAAACATCCTGGATTAATTTGGTATGTATATACTTATTTATTACTATCTTTTTATGGTTTTCATGTGATGATCTAGCCAATCCCATGATTCTATGATTCAATTTTTACTCTGATTATTAAATTCAATTTATTTCATGTAATCCATGTCATCATTTTCTTCATGTGAATTTTTTTGTTTTCTTTCAGACTATTGGATGACCATTTTTGGCATGTGCTCATGTATTTGATGTGCAGAATGAAGATTGAATAGGTTGCTATGCTATTATTTCTAATGTTTCAAAATTTGTAATAAAGGATGGCTTGCATTGGTCACAACTTATCAATTTATTGTATCTATCCTCTTGGCATTAAATGTGTTGAAATAAAATAAGTTATTGTATTTGCAGTATTTCCTCTTACTACCCTCAAACATAATACTAGACTGTCAATAGGATCCAGATTGGTATGATTAGAGCATCTGTCATTACTTCATTTTTCCTAAAATCCTGTGATCTTCATCTAGTACATGGTAGGGATGTGCCCATAACGGATTAACTTGTTTCCATTCAAAATGTGTTTCGTGAGAAAAGTTATTTTGATTACCCTCTTATTGCCATTTATTTCTTCATTCACGTGTTCTGTACAAAGGAGGTGTCACTGTTCGTGATGGCGACATTTAACCTTTTTTTTTTTAAACAAGGGCTCAGGTTACACCATGGGTTAGATTTTTCTAAATTTAGCAACAGGATTTGTTCACTGTGATTACCAGAGCTCAGCAATAACTTATTCTTGCAAGTTCTCAGTTTTCTTGTGCTCTATTACATAACTTTAAAAATTTTCTTAAACCTGTGCTGCCCATACAATTTTGAAAGTTCACAGACTAAAGTTCAAATTGGCTGCAAGCCTTTTTTTTTTTGTGCAAAATTGTATTAACTACTTAAGTTAATCACCTTATAAATTATTGTACTTTTATTATTAAAGAATGATTTAAGTCATCCAATACACCTTTCTGAAGCAGTATTTTTCACTGTTGTAGCAATTAAAAAAAATGACTTAAATTTATATAAGTATTATGTTGTTTGGATAAAGTTGTGTAATGCTGTGGTAAATAATTTCAACAAAGGTTTTGGGGTCTCCTATAGTCCACACCAAATATCCTTATGTGATGACCTCTGGCACCTAAACCTCAAGGAGTTTTTCCAAATTGAAGAAACCCCAGACTTATCTGGCTCCAGTAAAAGCTTAGAGTTTAAAAAGAATCAAAATTTTGAGGGTACATAAAGACATTGGAAATTTTCTCAATCTTTAAATATCTTGTAAGAATAGAATACACTAAAATGTAGCATAGTTCTGATTTTCATGTTGCTCAAAATTTTTCAGACTTCTATACCAACAAAGTTGAAAATCGAAATTTTTCCTTGTGGTAAACTTGTTCTCCACAGTGAGTTCTTTGATTAAGGTCATTACTTTTTCGAAAATTTTGGTAGGTTTCATGTAATATTCTGAGCAATATATGCAACGTAATAAATTACAAAATGATTTTCTTTGAACTTCTGGTAGGAATATGCTAAATGACATCTACTGTATTGCTCTATTTGTTTTCAAGTTAATATTTGTACTAACAGCAATTTGTTCACAAAATTGTATTTATGACATGTTCTTTAGATGTCTTATAAAAGTTGTCAGAAACTCAGCTTTTTTTCTGCCAAAACTCCACGTTTTTCAGAAATGTTCAAACGCCATTTTCTCTTAAGTCAAATCTGTATTCTAACTTTTGTTTGAATGAAATAATTTTATGAGTTATTGCCAACAATATTGTTTATTACAATAGCAGCAAATATTAACAATCTAATCCATGTAGTTCAGGTATCCATGCAATTTAGGTTGTATCGCGCCCTAAACTCGTGCACACAGACCCTGAACTGCAGTGCTTAGCAATCTAAGGAACAACTGATTTGTGTAACAATCAGGGCTACAGGCTGCCCATCAGCATATACCTTACTGGCATCCTTTCGTGTCGCTCGCGCGAGCATGGCGCAAATGCCAAATTAGACCAAGGCGGCACGCATTGCCTGGTCATTGTGTCCGAGGACTTGGAGCATGCTCATTTCATTCCACAACGAGCTAAAACATGCTCTACACTGTAGTAGATTCTAGGTCGTTGGCATTTCATCTACTCAGAAGGAAATAGGCGTGGCCTACAGAAAGGAAAAAGACATCCGGTACCAGCGATCTTTCTCGACTTTACAACTGCCTTCCACACTCCACCTCAAATTCACTCATTTATAAAATCACTCCCATATCTCCCACTCATCACCAACTACCTGACTGCCAGAACCTCTTACGTCAGCCACCTCAACTCCTCTTCCTCCCTCAGACCCATCCTCGCCGGCGTCCCGCAAGAAGCCGTCATCTCCCATATCGTCTCCCTCTACACCAACGACCTGCCAACCTCACCACAGACCAACGACTCTCTACGCTGACGACACAGCACTGACAATGACAAAACTCAGACTACCCTACTCGGCCCAAGTACTTCAAAAAGACCTAAGACGCCATAACTACCTGGGCAAAAGACAACCTGCGACTAGACCCCTCCAAAACTACTGCCATATTTTTAATAGAGGAAACCACTACAAGGCGCACCCAACTCCACCCCCACTTACTTTAGACAACACTGCCATCGACTGGACATATGACACCAAATATATAGGCATCACTCTTGACCATAAACTACTAAGGAACAAACACATTCACGCAATTACACAAAAAGCCAACAGACGACTGAACTCATTAACACCTGTTCTGACGGCCCCACTCACACCCACCAAGACAAAACTTGTCATCTACAAGACGTACGTAAAACCCATTCTGACATACAACTGTGCGACCTGGGCAATGACGTCCAAAACTAACTACCAAAACAATCATCAAAACTGAAAACCGCTTTTTACGCCTCTATTTTCGACCCCCCCCCTCCCCTTACAAATTACAACAGACTCCGACAAACACTCAAACTACCGCCGATTGACAAAGACATATACGACACTACACACAAAGACGTTGACAACGCTCTTAAGAAAACTCACTTTACTGCCTTTCTACAAACCAGACATCACCAAAATGTTATCCACAACCCACCCCTCCACAAAAGACGTTTACCACACCCCTTTGACATTCTAAAACTTCCTCCGCTCAGCACCTCGTAGCACTACTCACCCACCGATATCGGCTACCAAATTCCATCTCCCTACGACAGCCTTAACAAATTCTATCTATAAATTCCCCCTCCTTTTCCCATCTCACCGAACAACGTCATGTGCCGGGTAGCGAGAGATTCCTTCCCCCCTCCCATTTCCCCTCTCCGTTTTTACTACACACAAGCGCCACGCACCCAAACTGGGAAGAGCTAAAATGCAGGCCCAGAGCGATATCCAACAGCCTCGAGAAGACTCCAGCCCCGGCAACAACCGGAACGAGTTCAGCGCCTCCTAACAGGTACCTGTGTCTGCCTCCGAGGTGTTGAGCCAAGCAGTGCACGCAGTTAATTTAACTGAACTTTTGTGATCATCGTTAGGAAATAAACTTTTGATCGTTTTGATTACGCTAAACAATTTTGCAGACTTGTTTGTACTTTACTAATAAAGTTTTAAAATTAGTGTTTCTTTACAATTCATGGGTCTGGCATGCATTTTGTGCATAGTAGAGTAGTTTTATATTTGTTTTCGTAGATCGTAAGTTTCATTTAATTATTCCAAGAGGCTCAATAGCTGTCCTTTCAACTTTCTATTCATTAAATTAAATATTAATTAAATTGCTTCTTAGATTCCTATCATTTCCTCTTACGATGTGGTCCTCCAAGCCTTTCTTTAGTAGCCCTCTGGCTATATCGTCGAGCTACCGGAGGCCAATATGTGTGTTTACTGCAAATTGCCAGCAGTCGAGTCCACGCTGTTGACTCATCATCGTGTGTGTCGCCGTGTGAATGGTGAGTACCAGGTAACTACTGAATCTGCACGCGCTCCCACAACACGGACGCCCATACACACACACACATACACCCTTCAGCATTTCACCCTTCAACACGTCCTATTGTATGGACACATATTAGATTAGTTGATGTCATGATCTTGATTTGTTATTGCTGCTTTTAGAGGTGATAAAAATATTTTATTTTGAAAATTTCACTATATTGGTATATATTGCAATAATGAAAGGACTTCCATACACTCGAATGCACTACAACGCTCACAGAATAACTTCTGATGCTGGGAAGATCATTGCACACATCTTGTGCAGGATAGGAATAGAAAGAGACTTTCTTCCAGAATGGCCAACTTTAAACAAAGAGCTCATCCAATGTATATTTTAACTAAAGCTAACATGAAATCGTCAAGAATTGGCTAAATCTTCGTACTTTCAAAAACAGGCGAAATTCATAAGTTGAAGTTGCAACTAGTTTTAGACGCAGACAGAAAATTTGTAATCCCCTCGGACCCCGCGCCAGCGTGCTGCCCCCTTCGCTCTGCGGTGTTGTGCGCTTTGTGGGAAAGCTTTCTGCTTCAAAAGGCCTCAAATTACGACGCTAGTATAAATATTAACGACGTGAGATAACAAAAAAAAATATATTTTCGTAATGTTTGAAAAAGCAAAAGAATAGAACAAACTGAAGTTTATGTCATCTGATAGAGTGCATTTAGCACAATCAAGATCCCTAACAAAAGTTTAAAGAAAACATTTTGAACCGTTTTTGAGAACATCTTGTTTTTGGAATTCTTTAAAACTGCAAATATTGCACGCAAATTTTGCGCGAAAATTACCAAAATTTTCGAAAAAATGTGCATAACCTTAATAAAAGAACTAATTATTGACAACAAATTTCATTTGAAGAAAACATTTATATCTTTAATTTTTTTGTAAGATGACACCGAAAAAATTCATACTTTTGAAATTTTCAAAAATTTAGTTAATCTTGAAAATTGTTTATTAGTGTATGTTTCTCTATTCATACAAAAAATTTTAAAGAAAATATTTGGAGCAGGTTTTGAGTAAATTTTGAAAATTTCCGGAGGGTGTCATGTAAAGTAACCCCAAGTTATGAAAAATGTTTTTCTAAATCCCAAAGTTTCGACTCGAGCCAGAGATTATCTCAGTTAGGAAAATATCCTGTGCATGGATTTGGCGCTAGTAGTATTCACAGACACCAGACAGACGAACGTTTTGAGAAAAAATCACTATTTCCATATTGGGACTCTAAAATGTGTGTTCCGTGGAAATATCAAATTCGATGTTCCGCTACATAACATAACAATTGTGAAAGATCTTGTCTGTCCGGGTTATGCCGCGTCGAAGGCTGTGTTGCCGACGTTTCGGCCATCTTATCGTCTTCCTCAGAGCTGGTCTGCGGACACGACTCCGGCCGCGGAAACCTACGATTTCATATAGCATAACTTCCCTTATACTGCGTTATATTACTCCGTATATACGTACGAATACGGGACGCTAAAAATATCTTCGTAATTGTAATAATTGTAGGAAGACACCGAAATAAATTTTGAATTTTTTCAATTTTCGAGAAATGAGGATTTTCAACCAACACAAGACATGCATAATTTTCTTAACATCCTTTAGACTATCCAACAACAAATTTTCATCAAAAACGAAAGAAACCGTTTTTGAGAAAAATTGTTTAAACAAAATTAAAAATTGCCTCTACCTTGTCCTTGATACCGAAAATTCGATTGACGGCAAAAAGTTTGTTTGACTGTGTGAACAACGCTAGCGGCTAAACCGTTCAACCAATTTTCTCCAAAATTAATATTTCGTGATTGATGTGGCTGATATCGCAGCCTCTTGAATTTGAAATCGGTATTTTAATTTTTGGGAGTACTTTACATGAAGTCCCTGGGATATTTTTAACTTCTTTAGAAAAAATGCGCCCTCAAGTTTGATTAAATTTTGTTGTTGGATAGCCTGAAGGACGTTTAAGAGAATGGCGCAGGTCTCAAGTTGGTTGAAAACGCTGATTTTTCGAAAATTGAAAAAATTCAAAATTTTTTAGGTGTCTTCCTACAACTCATATTAAAAATATAGATTTTTTTCCTTAATAAAATATGTTCCTTCAAAATATATTTTGAAATTAGGTCATGTATACGTTTCCGAAAATTTGAGTATTTTTCGCGTGATTTTGAGTGAAATATAGGCAATTTTTAATTTTTGTTTAAACATTTTTTTCTCAAAACCGGCTCCATCATTTTTGAAGAAATTTTGTTGGTAAATAGTCTGAAGAACATATAAGAAAATGTTGCATGTCTCACGTTGGTTAAAAAATCTGATTTTTCGAAAATTGAAAAAATCAAAGTTTTTTCGGCATCTTCCAACAACTACAATTATGAAGGTTTCCAAGTTTTACAAAAACATTTAAGGTCCAAATGCAATGTTTACCAAAAACATTTAGGTCATATTAAATTTTTCGATAATTGAAGTATTTTAGGAAGTCAAAACTTACGTCGCCCGCCCTGAAAATCCTGCGTTTCGTGATCGTAATTTTGGAGGTGTATTGAAGCAGTTGAATGCTATGTTAGTTAAAAGTGTATTATTATTTCATATTTCATTTAATAATATTATTTTTATCATATTTTCTGTTCTTCGTTTTAAATTACGTGCTTTGTGTTAAATTTGTGAAAACTAATAGATTGTTGGTTGTTGTTACCCATTGTTGTAAACGCCGCACAGCTAAAAGGCGATAATGCTGGCAACTTTTCATTCGCGGTAATAAAAAAGAATTCTTTAAATATTTGTAGGTCGCAATACCACAGTGTGTAATAATTACTATTATATGTTTTTGAATCTATTTGTTTTCCAACTCTATCAGTGTCGTATTATTTAATAACTTTTAATTATTTGACTTTCTCGTATTCTGCTTTCTTTTCGCACCAAATGTTCTACGATATCAAATGAGTTTTGCAAAAAATAATTCGGAGAGAAATTTTGGTATAAATAGTATTAATAGTAATTAATTACTAATGTCGAAAAAGTACGTGCTTGTTTTAGCACCACTGTTAATTACAGCCTAGCAATGAAAATATTACAATTGATGTTTTAAGAGGAAGTTTTGAGATTTTTCGTGCCTGTTCCATTGTTCTAAGGTAGTAAAAATTAATTTTTGTTTTTTCATTAATATTTCTTTTGTGTTGGAATTTGGAGCCGAGATTTGGAGCCGTATAAATCATGTTCTAATTTATGATATTTTTTAATTAAAAAGGAGAATGTTGAGCTGAAGAAAATAATTGAAATTAAAACCTGATTTTGACTGTAGAGGGCTGAGGAAGTTTGGAAGGGGCCAAGAAACCTTTCATAAATCTTATTTTTATTTTTGAGTCTAAGTTTAACTACTCATATGTAATTTGATTTTTTTGGACTTCTTGCCATTTTCATTCGGGGGTGCTCTTTGTGTTCCCACAGGCAGCGAGGCTAGGTGGTAGCTGGTGGTAACTTAAGAAGGAATATTTACAATATCTTGTTGTGTAACAATAGTTGTTAATCTTTTTGCAAAGAATATTCGCATCCTCCACGAAGAGAAGTGTTCTTTCATTTCAAATCGACGAGTGCAAATCGTTTACTTATAGAAGAATGAACAGACCGAAAATCGGACCTTGCGACTCCCCATATTTAATTGATAAAAATAAGAATTATGGATAAAATAATGCCCCTTTATTTATTTGTTTAACTAAATAATGTCAGAAATAGTTAAAAACTGTGACGTATGATGGGGAAATTGCATCTGTACACGGTCTATGGTTTCTGCACGTTTCACAGCCGCTTCATTCTAGACTGTATTTCACTTTTAGTACGTTTCCTCAGTGATATATCTACTTCTTTGTTTGTTAACCGACATGTAGGCGCTCGCTGCTGCAGGTAAACACCAAAAAACGCTACAGGAATCAATGAGGTTATCAGATTGAGCAGTGAAAGGTGCGATAATCAACAAGTTTCTGGGTAATTGTTGATTTTCTTTTAACGGAGATGAACTAGAAAAAACTTGTAATGGAAAATACCCTTAGTTGTATGGAACCAGTGCATAATGAATAAAAAATTGAAGAAAGAAACTTGAATGGATATTGAATTGAATTAGTAATTATTTTTAACATGTATTACAGGGTATGTGTACATTAGTACTTCCTTTTACTTACTTATGAATGAATTCATTAATTGTGGATTTTATTACGAATTATTTCGTCGTTTACCATTTATTCATAAGTCAGTAAGAAGGGTACAGATTCCGGACCTCAAGAAAACTTGCACAGATTTTACTTCTCTCCTACACATCACATACAGTTTTGCCCGTTTGTGTTAAATAAATAAAAATAACGATTTAAATTCCATGCAATAATGCATTTTTCTTCACGCAATTCGAACTCGTTTTAATGAAGTTTTATCAAAAAGAAGTTAAATCCATTACGTTGTAATGAAAACATGGAACACTCGTATTACCCGGTAATGCCTTTTAGTGGTGCAATTTCTTTGTTTACGTTTGGATACTTTAAGGCAATGTCTGTCATTGCAATTTCTCACAATATTAAGTAAAGTAAAATGGATGTATATTCTTAAATTATTTAAAAAATATTATTAACGACCTCTCATGTTTAGGGTACAACGTATGAAAATGAAATGTATTTATCTTTCTTGGTGGTGGTCTATAAATTCCGTACGTCATTTCCGGCATGGAGTATCTGTGACTTCCTGAGCTAGTGTGTTCTTTGCGTTCGGGGATCGGGTCTCTCTTTGGTGAAGTGAGAGACGTGGTACTGCTTTATATATCGTTGTAATCACACCGATTTAAGTTTGTAAATATGGTTCAAAAGAAGGTATGTTATATTAAGTATTGCACATTCTGGATAATTACGTTATATTTTTATTATTTTAATCATTACATTTGTGGTTATGTGATGCCATCCATGTGATGCCAGCATTTATACTGTACTGCATGTTTGTCCTTTCGTGTGTCTACTATCAGTTGCATTCATAATTTTGTGAATTCTGGCTAATGTTATCTCATTCGTGGTTATGCGGATGTCCTTGTTTATTTAAATGTATGTTTTACGCTACTTACGCGCTTGCATCGATAAATGCCATAATGTTATTCAATATTCTGCTGTAGCCCAAGAAGAAGGTTGGAAAGAAAGTTGCGGCTGCACCTCTGGCAGTTAAAAAACCAGAACCAAAGAAGGTGGTCAATCCACTTTTTGAAAAGCGACCAAGAAATTTTGGTATTGGTAAGTAAACCAGAGCACTTTAACTTCACAATTACAAACCTTCTTTATGCGTAGTGAATAAATCTTTCAACTTTTTAGGGCATGACTAACTTACCTTGTTTCTGATGACAGCAGTTACGTTGTGGTGAGAAATGAGATATTGGGGCTTTATTAACAAAATTTAGTCAATTTGTTGCATAATCCTGATTTATACAACTGCAAACTAAAAGTTGTGCTTGAAAAGTAGGGAAATTTGGCTTTATTGTTTATTTACTGCAATTACTTCTGTGAAATAATTTAGATTAATCGATTTTTCCTAGGTTTGAAAAAGCAACAATAAGAAAGTGTGGTGGAGAATTAGGTATAATTATGTAGTTAGTGTTGATGTGCCACCTTCATTTTTGATTGTAGGTCAGGACATCCAACCTCCAAGAGATCTCAGCAGATTTGTGAGATGGCCCAAGTACATTCGTATTCAACGTCAGAAGGCAGTACTGCAGAAGAGACTGAAGGTCCCTCCCCCAATAAACCAGTTTACTCAAACACTTGACAAACAAACCGGTAAGCAGAAATGGTTATTATAGTTAAATTACAATTTTAAGACTTCGCATAGTTACAGAAAACATGGTCATTTTCCGTGGAGGAGTATTGTAAATTAGTCTGCATTCATCCATTTTCTGCAACTGTGGCATATCTTGAAAAAGGTTATTTACCATGTGCAGGTTGCCATTTTAGTAATAGTACCTCTAAAAATTATATTTATTCATACTAATTATTCTTAACCGGTAGGTTGCGAGTATGCCATTGTTGCAGCAAATGAATGATGATAGTAGTTTGTTAAAGAGGTGTCTGGCTCACCCTTAGAGAAGAGCGAGTTAGTGTGTATGTGGGGCATGTTTTCTACATGAAATGGAGAAAACATAACCTATTTTGCATTTGGGTATTTTGAGGTGCCTCCCAATATACTAACTTGCAATTCTGTACTGTATAAGAATCACAGTAATAACATTCTTTTTTGTCAAAATACTTCTAGAAAACTCACCTTATAAATCTGTTGAATGGTAAATAGAGAACTTTTGTTTTGGGAAAGCATTGACTTGGTCATTTGTGCTAAATCCAATAATACCCATTTCATCACGTTTCACAAAATAAACTCGTGTAAGTTATATAATAAACACACACAGGACAGAGCAACATACTACCCCTGACCATCAAAGGCCTCCCCCAAAACCTAAATCCTCTCTTCCCATTTCTGTAGGTTTCTCCTTCACTTGAGCAGCATAAATGATTGGTTTAAACAACTTCGTTAAGTTGTTTAATTCAGTCTTTTCCATGTAACCAAGAGCTTAAGCAAAATCAACTAACCTGCTCTAAGAAATATTGCTTGTGTTCAGAAAAACTATTGAGATGTGGGTTGGGAAATGGGAACGTACGTAGGTAAAGGGAAATTCAAATCTTTCATTATTTGTTTCACTTCACAGCTACCAATCTCTTTAAGATTTTGGAGAAATACAGACCAGAAAAGCCTGCTGAGAAGAAAGCCAGATTGAGGGCTCGTGCTGAAGGGAAGGTTGCTAAGAAGGAAGATACACCAACTAAACGCCCTAATGTTATTCGTCAAGGAACAAACACTGTGACAAAGTTGGTGGAACAAAAGAAAGCTCAGCTTGTGGTTATAGCACATGATGTAGACCCAATTGAGGTATTATTTATTGCAGTTCTTATGAGTTTATTTAAGTTTTTATGGCAAGTGCTGATAAGTTTTCAAAATCAAATATTTAATGAGGTTGTTGGATGTTTGCTAATTTTATTGAAAGATTTGCAAGTAACATTAAATTGAAATTTATTTCTAAGCCAAGATTGATGTTTATAAGCAAGTGCCAGATATAAATTTTCCAAAGTTCTAAGAACAACTAGCCTAATTAATTTTTATTTATACATTTTCTTTTCCCAGTCTCTTCGGGGGGAGACATCCCATCTTACTCCTGCTTTCACGACTTTTGAATTAAAGATTTGAGTTCAGCTTTTCTTGGTTTTTCATTTTAAATACTATATAATATAAAGTATCATCTAATGTATTTGATGAAATGAAAGTAAATGTGTCAGTGATATGCTATATTATAAATCTAAATTTTTGACAATATTTATTAGAATAAGCTAATCCAATTTCAACAATCATAGGATTTTTGATTCAAAATACAATCTTGCCTTGTAGAAGGGAAATAGATGTTATCCCTTAATGTTGCACCCACCTCATTATAATAAAACGTCTGTTAGCCACATGTCCTGAGAACCAGATTATCAATTTTTCTCCCCACATTTATAAAAAAAAAAAGCTTAATGTGATCCTTGTGTCTTGTGAAAGAACAAAATCATTTGAAATTGAGTGAATTAATAAAGTCAAATAGTCTTTCTCATTTACATCATGTCAGTGCTCCCCTCCCATATATATTTTCATTTAGACCATTTAAGCAAGGAATTGTCTTCATTTATTTTTACAGTTGGTGTTGTTCCTTCCATCCCTGTGTCGTAAAATGGGTGTTCCGTACTGTATTGTAAAAGGCAAAGCTCGTCTTGGAAGGCTGGTGCACAGGAAAACATGCACATGCATTGCTTTAACTCAGGTACAGTAGTAGCTCTTTTTTTTTATTTCTTCCAGTAATAATAATTGAGAAACAATTCTTTATATTCTTTTCTTTTCTACAGGTTGATTCGGGTGAGAGGACACCATTTGCCAAGGTGGTTGAAGCTATTAAAACTAACTTCAATGACAGATTTGAAGAAATCAAGAGACATTGGGGAGGTGGTCTCCTTGGATCCAAGTCTTCTGCAAGGATTGCCAAGATAGAAAAAGCAAAGGCTAGGGAACTTGCCCAGAAACAGGGCTAAAATGTATTTTTGTGGAAATAAAAGTTGTATTGGAAGAAAAGTTTTTAAAATAATTTCCCCCTTTCCTCCTCCCATTAAAAAAAATATAATTTCCAATTACAAAATCAGGAAATTGAATGCTTAGATACAAACTTAAGTACCGAAACTGCATTATCGAGATGGCTAACGTAGTGGTTCTTTATCAAACTGCTTTTCTCTTAGAATATACTCCAGAGAGAAACAACAAATGGGAGAACTCTATGACTGACGAGATATCCAAACTTCAAAATGGCGACTCTTCTGAGTGGATTGTTTTTATCAGTAGCGTAAATCACGTGCAGGGGAAGAGAACAATTGTATAATGTTTATTAACTTGTAAGTCGTGTTCCGTGTGAAGACCTAACATTAGTAAAGTCGATCCGCTCTTAACAATACTTACACTCATGCCCGAGGAATCGTTCCATTGTGACATTGTTATTGACAGGTTAGTGCTTAACATAAAGAACGAGCAATTTTTGATGTTACTTTAAGAAATCTGTTATTGACCTACATGTTTAGAAGTGAATTCTGATGAAATTTGGTTACATGTGGTTAGGAACGAATGATAATTAGAAATGTGTTACAAGATTTCATGTTTGTTACCCGTTGCGAAAGATTTCCTGTCACTCGAATGTTACGAACAATCAATGCTATTTTAACATGTACCTGCAGAACATTATTTGGACGTCATTTTACATCTCAGTGCACGTATCGTTCATCAGGTAACTGAAACTCATATATTTGGGCGATGGAGCAGATGCATTGGAACATCCTAGATTTGGCAAATCAGTTGCGTCAAGAAAGATTGTTTGTGAATTCGGAACAGCAACAACTTCAAAATTTAAATGAAAAGGTTCGTCTATTAAGCCATATTAAGTTTGCATACTTTGATTGAAAAAAAATATTGACGCCCAGTCTGCTTTCAGGTTTTGTGTGCCTCATCTAAATTAGCTCAGTTAGCCTGGGTTACTGCTCAACAGAGAGAGAATTTGAATCGTCTGATAGTTGCCAGACCAGATTGCACTCCAGCAGCATGTTGTCAAAAAGCTACTGCTATAGAAGCTACTGACTTTGTCGATGCTTACAAGGTTTTAGGATTCCAGGTGAACTTTTGTTGTGTATTCACGGAAGGAACACTTTTTGCTTTATTTCTTACTATATTCATATTATGAAAACATTAAATGAACTCCTGTGATCTCTGGTTCCATTTATTTAACAGGAAAGTTTAGCATATGGTGAATTATTATCAAACTTGTGTATGGCTCCTCAACTATTAGCCAGTTGTTTAGTCGTGGGTGATCGCATACTTCCTCCTGATTGTATGACAAAAGTGGCACACTCTGTCTATACTGGGCTTTTGGGAAGTAGCCTGCTTCCTGATGACAAACTTCTTGCTTTGAAATTACTACGACATTTAACTGAATTGCAGTTAGTACCATCTGACAACCCTAGGAGGTGAGAATTGTCCAACTTTTATTTACCTGGAAATAAATGTCGTTGTAAATAGTTTGATTGATCGTAGGAAGTAAGTCTTGTTTTTATACGATCTAAATTGATGTTTCGCTCTTGATGTGAAAATTACCTCACCACAGTATATTTTCTTTTTGTACATGCAATTTTGTTTTTCAACTTGCATTGTTTTAGAAAAAAGTAGATATTCTTAAATTTCTTTTTCATTTGAGGTATTTTATGATAATCTGTATAGAATTTGTCAAGTGTAGATTAAAGCAGTTTTGTAAGAACAAATTGTGTTTCAAACATTGGTGATAACTGCTGCTTCTAATGTTCTAGGTTGTTGCGTCAGAAGTCTTGTGCATTTGCCCGGTTATATAGTGAGTTTCATGAGGGCTTATTTTCTGCAAAGCTTTTCTTGACAGCAGCATTGCATAAGCCTATTATGCAGCTGTTAATGGAAGATGAAATGTTTCTAGACATTGATCCTGACAAAGCCACTGTTAGGTAATTTCTCTTCACTGCAGTATATATCAAATCTATTTATACTCTCTCTTGCATTAATAATTTTGAATATTTGGTATGAATTCAGGTTTCCTCCTGAAGAAAGGCTAAAGAGATTTGGTACTGAAGGTACTCCAGAGCATGCAGTTCAGCTGGCTGAGTATCGTAAGTGGACCATTGGCTGTCTTGTTCGTGTTACAAATAGATTTGTGAGCAGTATTCGGGAAAACATGCATTGCTTTCCTACAAGTGTTAGATGGTTAGTTCGTCAAATTGCTGGTCTACTCACTCAGACTGGTAATATTGAACCCAAAGAGGTAATTTAATAAAAGACTTATTTCAAATATTTAAATTATCTTAATATATTTAATTTTTAACATCTTTTTTTTAAATTTTTTTAAATTTCAGGTTCATGCAATATGCACAGATTTAATTTTTACTCATTTCATTTGTCCTGCAATGGTTAATCCAGAACCGTATGGCATTACTGATGCTCCAATTAGTTATATTGCTCGATTTAATCTAATTCAAGTAGCTCAGATTGTTCAAACACTGGCAATGACTCGCTATGAAGAGGTATCAAGCAAAGTAGCTGATCTATATAGCCACTTCGAAAAGGTATGAGACGCCTACATATTTCATTATTAATGTTGAGAAATTAATTTAATGGAAATAATTTGCAGAAATATGATTAACAAATGCTTTGTAGGATTGTGTGTCTTCCATCTTGGATATTATGCTTGATGGTGTGGGAGCCACTGTTAACGAAGAACCTGCCACAATTGAGGGTGGCAAACTTCAAGGATTGGTTCGATCATGTGCCTTGTTTACTGAGCAAGAACTTCAAAACCTTGTGAGTTGTAATATTGATGAATAAGTTCAAAAATTATACTTCTCTTTAATGTGATGTTTCAGTAATTTGATTTGTTTTTCTGTTATCAGATTCATTTTCTCCAGTCAGTTGCTTCTAGTGAAGCAGATGATACTGTGGACAAAAAGCAGCTCAGAGCATTGCTGATACAACTTCCATCATCTGCTGCCTCTACTGTCAATGGAAACTCTTCTCAGAATACACCATCTCCTTCAAAATTAACTCCTCCCACAAATGACACACATAAGCGTGGTGGCTTATTAGGGAAAGGTAAATTGGCTGCATATTGGTACTCTTATTGAATTTTATATAATAGTCCGCAATTTAAACAAAAGTTTCATCATGTTCCTTTTGCAGTGAGCAGAAATCGAACATCTTCAGCACCTGCCTCACCTGGTCGCGGAGAAGCTTCTGATGATGGAGGATTAGATGAAGAAGTTTTAGACCGACCTAGCCAGGATGTACTACTGATTCCTTTTGGCTCTTCTGCTAGTGAAAATGTGGGATTTTTATCGGAACAAAAGGTAATTTTTTTAGTATTGTTTTATGAAAGAAGTGAGAAGATGCATATGAGTGTAAGTTTATACATTCAAAATTGTAATTTTGTACCTGTTTGTAGGATTTGATTATATTTATGTTGTACGTAGTGTTATTTCCTTTGAAAATGTGTTCTTATTGTGAAGAAAGTATGATGTGCTTGTGCAATTATTAGGTACTTTGTGGAGATGAAGGGAGATGTCAAACTCAAGAGGTGAGTCTTCCAAATGGTGTGGATGTTTCCATTGTGGGGACAAACAGTGTCGAGAGAACAGAAAGCCAAGAGAAGCGAACCAGATTTTCACTTCTACATGATGAAGGTTCTATTGGTGAGCTTCAGTGTTATATTTTAATTTTAAAACTATTTTATTATCATGAAACTTCAGACCATTTATCGTTTGTTTACAAAGTTTTTGCATGTGCACATTTTAATTATTAGAAGTAGACAAACAGATGATGTAGAATAGTTGAAGTATCATATTTACACGAATTTAAGAGAAGCTAAAAAGCTATGCCATCCTAAATATCTCATTCAAAAAATACATATATTTGTAGGATAATAGTAAGGAATCTTCTTTGAATGGTGACTTTGCCTCGCCTTCACCTTCGTCATTTATCATCTTTAGTACAATCAGTTAGGAAGCTTTTCACTCGTCAGCTAAGAACCTCTGAAGTCTCTCTCTTACTACGTCTGCTTTCTAACTTCCCTTCACAATCATCAAACATCCCCTTTCCTTCGGCCATTTTCATCAGTTACTTAAACCCTATTGCAATCAATTTATACTCCCAGCACCACTAAATTAGATTCAGGTACCAACTCATAAGTCAGCCATAAATAGCATGTGAACAAAATTGCACCGCAGCTTTACTACTTTACTTCAGCTGGAGAGTATTGTGACCTGAAAGATTGACTAGAATGATACCCTCTGTTAACTTGTTCGTCAGAATTGTAGTGTAATTATACGTAAATGAAAATTAATGTACTTTATTGACTTTGCTTGTGGCAATACTAGCGACAATCTAGAAGCGTGTCAGAAGCTGCTTAAATCATATGTGTTGCGTCTTTCACTGGGAATTTAGAACATGAAGATCAGAATGAAATAATGTTATCTATATGGTGTCTGCAAATGTTTCAGGAAGAGGAACTCCTAATATATCAGGTACCAAGTACTAGTGGTATTGGCTACAAATAGACACATGCATACGTATACACACACTTACTCACATTTTTAATTTATTGTCAGAATAATATTTTGTAGCAACATTACATTGCTTGTTTGGTTATTGTTAGCAAGGTTCAGTTCTCTGAATTTGTCAGAAACAACTTCTTTTGATACATAAGTAGTATAATTTAGAGGTAAGTGGACTTAACGCATTATAATAATTATTCAGCAAACTAATTTGAAAGTAAGTATCGAAGGTACATAACAATGATGGCCAAAGTGTAGGTATCGTGACCATGGATCAAAATTGTTCAGCATTAAGCATGAACATTATCAACTTTCCTTTTCAAACATTTTCTCTGTTGTTTTTAGAGTAGAAAATAAAAGTATTCTTACATTCCTCTCCAATTCATGAGTTATAAATAATATGTCTCTGTCAGGTCGAGACACTCCCTCATCACAGATCACTGAAGGAGAAGAGGGACCTGGTGGTATAATGAGAGGAGGTGCAGGGGAAGTGAGGCAGCAACTTGACTTCCACTCAACTGCTCAGAATAAGCAGTCTCGCTCTGATATTGATGATAAATTTGGCAAATTTGAAATAAAAAAATTGCTGGAAGGTAAGTTGCATCATTAAGTATTTGAATACTTTGACATGTTTTATGTCTACCACATAAGCACTAATGTGTTTCTTCTAGGAGATGAAACTGTGTCAATGGTCAGTGACACTTGGAGTACTGATGTTCTTGCTAGTGACAGTGAAACAATAGAACAATCTGAGCGAAGCTTCCCTTCTGGAAGTATTTCAGAAAACACTATTCAGCAATTAAGTGAAGCTACACAGGTAAACAAATTATTTAATTGATTTTATGTTACTTGAGTAATGAATTAATAAGTTAATCATGTTCATTGTATGTAGCTTTTAGATGTTTCTGAAACTGCATCAGAAGCTTGGAGCACAGATGTATTAGCATCAGATTCTGAACGTATGACAGAAGTGGATACTGATGACACTGGCAGTGTGGCTCGATCTGATGATACAGCCAGATCTGAAATTGAAGTTGAAGGTCGAGGCGAACCGGAAGGAGGGGAAGAAACTCCACCTTCTCAAGCATGTAAGCTCCTCTAGTAATGAGGTTTATGTGCCTTTCCTTACTTATCATATAATGTTGATTTGTTATTTTACAATGCATGAAAAGATACTTAAACAAGTTTTATAATTAGATCATATTAAAAGAAAAAACAAGTGATATTAATGATGCTGTTATACGTATGTAAGTAAAGAACTAGGAATTACTAATAAACTCCTGATTGTAATAGTATTTGGTATAATAAAAGGACTTAAGTGCTTCATGAATCATTACAGAAGTTAACAATACGTGCTGTTAGGCAATAAAATTTTGCAAAATACGTAGGAATGTTTCATTTTTTGAAATGCCGTATCATTGTTTATAGCTTTAAATTTGAACTCAAGTTTTCGTCCTATTCGAGAAGATCCTGTGGGTAGAGCTGGTCTTGTTCCTCCATCTCCTACTCGTGTAGATATTGCAGTTCAACCAGCCTGGAACTCTGCCCATCGTGGAAAAGCAGAGTATAAGAGACGAATTGCAGAATATGTTGATAGTAATGCCAATAATGTTACTCAGCGAAGAGAATCACAAGAATTCAAATCAGGTAAAAATGTGACTCATCACCACTATACCCTTGCATGTTTCATTCTTTGTATTATTATTATTATTATTATTATTATTATTATTATTATTATTATTATTATCATCATCATCATCATCATCATCATCATCATCATCATCATCATCATCATCATCATCATCATCATCATTTATTTTTTAGTGTATTGAATGCTAATGTTGGAGTGTTGATTAGTTTCTGCTTTGAATCTAGTATCTTTTACATCATTACCTTTGAAAGCAATAAGCTGCATATACCTTATACCTTATGTTGATGAAAGTTGATTTGGGCTAAAAAATTACAACTTTTACCAGTAAATTAAGTTGGATGCTAGACAGTCGCACTCTCAGTCTGAATTGTTCTGTGATATTGTACACTCCCCTAAATATTTTTGAACTGTTTCTTTTGCTTTGCACCAAGTTTTGTGTATTGAAAACTTTGTATGTGACATAATGTGTGAAGGGACTGATCTCTTTCTTAAATAATGATTATCACAAAACAGAATCAGGGAATTGATTTGGCAACATGCAACTCTTGTTCCAATAATAAACACTTCACTTCCATTATATTAGAACAATGTTGGGAAAGTATTCTCTGTGATTTATTTTTAAGTTGATGATTTTGGATTTCATAGCACTTAACAAAAACGCAATTTAAAATTAAAAACCCATTCCTACAGGGCCCACTTTATGCAAAATGTATTCCACATTTGTTTACTTTCCTTTTGCACACCACTGCCTTCTTGACAGTCAACTGCAACTGTCCATTTGTCCTCTACATCAATACATTTCTATTATTCTACCAAAAACTTTTCCAAATTTCCCAATATTTTTTATGAATATTATAGCTAGCTATCACTTTAAAGAAACACTATTGCTGCTTTATCTATGAACAGTTGAGAATTAAAAATCTTTTCAAATTCTTGCCAGCTTGACCATCAATAGACTGTCTCTCTTCAGAACGTCTTCCTTCATCAACGACTGAAAACAAAAACTTATTCCAATATTTGTAAGCAAGTCTAGGATTGGCTATAATCTCCCTTCGCTTTCTTCTGTTTCTGACCTTACTGTATTATGTAAGAGTGCAGTTTGGTTCAAATGTGTTTCTTATTCATTAGTTATGCACATCACCCTATGATCACCTCAACTTGTTTATTGTATACTATTTAATTAATTGAACTTAATCTCTTTTCATTTGTTGGTAACAAACTGAGTCCAATTGTGACACTTATCATGTCAGGAGTGATCAACATTTTTCAAACAGAGTCTTCATGTTTTGTGATTTTATCCCAATTTTAACTGCAGTGTTAATTTTAACTGGTTTTAAACAATATGGTTTCCCACACTTCTAGACTCAGTTTGAGCTATTGAAACAGATCTCAAGCATCAATTGAATCTTGATATAAATTGTTGACAATTCCAATGGTATGTTAAAAATAAGATTCAACAATAAAATTCAAAATTATGTAACAGATGTAAGTGTATACATTTTTCATTCTGAAATATTTGTCTAAATCTTACGGCAGCAGATTGTGTAATAGCTGGAAGTTGAAATGGGAAATCCTGAATAGGTATAGGGTAACCAGAAGAGTCAGGGTAACCAGAACCCCGAAAAATATAAAAGGAAGGGAGAGGAAATGCAATCTCCTTTTTCATTGTATATCATTGTTATTTAAAAAGAAAGCTGTATACTGGAAACCAACTTCTAAAAATCTTCTTTGGTTAGGGTGTTATATCGACAGAAAGGGGATGAAAAGTTCTGCACATGATTAAGTATTCATGTTTAATTTGTGATTAAAATTATTATAAAATCAGAGTTTTTACAAATTAGTTGCATAGTGAATACAATACAGAGAAACCTCTTTATGCCAGCCATGCTAATATGTAGCTCTGGATAGTCGTAGCTCTAGAGAGGTAACATTTATAATCCATTAATTACATAATTACACCATTATAAATGGTACCATTCTTACTCGTACAGTTCAAGTTTTTCCGGAAGTATAATGCTCTTATTTAATTAATTAGCATTTAATTGAACATTAAGGAAACATGAAAATTCATGAATAAAAATCCAAAGTTATGTTGATGTAAGAAGTGCAGCAACTTAATTAAAGAACAATACCTTTACACTTTCACTGTTTCTTTGTGTTAGTAAAATTTTAATACTTTAGCATTGTTTTTAACATTTACTGAGGTATCTGGTTTCTATTATGTTTTGTATAGTATTCACTTATCTTTACTTAGTTTCTTCCAACACATGTGTCACTGCTGTCAAGCTGGTAAATTTCATTGATTGTATGCTCTCCCCAACCATACTTCCGACATTCACAATTTTAAAGCATTCTTTCATTTCAAAAATTTGTCCTTTGTGAATATGCCAGTATGCAGTGCTTTGCATCCCCCTCTCCCCATCTCAAATGCCCGTGCTCATGCCTTTCCTGCTGATGATTGCTCTCAACCCGGAAAGGTGGTTTTTGCTCCCATTGTTGCCCCTGATGAACTCTGATTTAAATGCTGTCTTTTTTGTTAAAAAATATTTCAGAGTCGGTGTAGTTCAATAAAATTGTAACAAACAATTTCTTGACTCATGAACTTCATTAAACAGGAAGGGAGACGATTTTTACTTTGAAGTAATATATGTAGGATAAAGAAAGTTGTGTAATGCTGCAGGAAATTTATTCCAAGATTTTGATGAAAATACAGGTTTTGGGGTCTCCTGATAACGAGAAAGGTTTCCTCGAAATGTCCTCCTGTGAACAACCTTACTGCATAAACTATTCACAGATTTTGTTCCCAAATGAATATTTCCTGGTCAGTCTCGCCCAATTTGAACCTCTGCATTTTTGAAAAAAATGTTCTTCAAATTTCATGGATACAGGTGAAATACCTGGGACATTTTAAAAAATGTTCTCAAAATGGCTCCAAATTTTTTCTTTCCATTTCATGTAGGAATAGAGTGAGATACACATTTAAAGTTGGCAGTAGTCCAATTTTTAGTGTTAAATCTGGATTTTCAAAAATTACAAAAGTTTGGATATTTTTTTGACATTGTCATTTCACTGATATCTCTATCATTTTGTTAATATTTACATTACCAGTGATTTGTATATATTACTGTATTTGTGAGTACAAGTGTTTCACAGAATGTCATGAAATGTTACTTGGTAACTTGAAACCTTTTCTCTAAAAATGAGCTCAGAATTGCACATTTTTCAAAATATTAAAATGCCATTTCCATGAAAACATCTCCAATTTTATTTTCAAACTGTTTTTACTAACAGTGCCAAATGCACCGAATATAGTGACATAAATGCCACTGATATATTCTTTTGTTTCTTCAAAAATTAAACAAGTAATTTTTTTAAAAATATCTTTCATATTGCCAATACATACATTAAGGACATTTCTTATACATAGTCACATTTGTGAGAACAATTGCTTCAAATAACTTCTCATAATATTTCTCGAAAACGTGTTTGGGTGAAAATCGGCTTCAAATTGTGCGTTTTTTTAGAAATGCGCAACTGGCTTTTTGTTAACAATATTTTCAAATTTTTCAACAAAAATGTGCAACTAGTAGACAGTTTTATTCTTCTATAACAATTGTCAAGTCACAGTTACAGATAAAAAAACACACACACACACCCAAACACACCTGAGAAAAAGTGAAAAAAATGTCTTTTAGGCTCCAATACATAGCTGCTATGAAGAGGGTAGGGCAAAATCAGAAACATAACCCAGAGTATTGAGAAAAGTTATTAAGTTGAGGAAGTCTGTAGCAGCACTAGTTGACTTTAGTCAGTAACCTCCCGGTCAGTGTAAGAGTTATTCAAGAGCTGGTATTTCAGATTTGTGAATTGGAGATTTAGACCAATGGTATTAAAAAAATCCCTTGCTTGATTTTGCAAAAATAATAATATTTTCGGGACATGATTTAGTTTGAAGTGATCTTGTGGATCAGCTTGGACTCTGAGACTGGTCAACAATTGATTCTTTTATTTAACCTCGTGTAAGTGTATTGAGAAAGTTTTGTCAGGAACCTGGACTATGTTTGTTTTCTCTTTTGTGATGATTTACTAAATGCTGTGTGCTCCCATACGGTATCACAATTGTTTTTATGTAATAATATTGTTTTTGAGAAAAGCTAAAAACAAAAGAGAGATGTTCCTTTGCTAAGTTGATGATAACTGATAATTAATCTTTTAGGAAATCCTCATATTCATTGTTTTCTGGTAAATTGCACTCTTGAAATTCCGCTGTCTCCTTGTTACAGCAGAAGATTCACCACGATTAATCCATGTCATAGACAAAATGGACAAGCCTTCAGAGCAGAAGACCCCCTCTGCATCTGTCCGTCAGTCAGCTACAAATGTTGTTAATGTCCCTAACCCACTGGTTTTGGTCCCTAATGGCCCTGTTCAGCTGATACCTAATGGTAGCTTACCTCTTCAGTCTAATGGACCAGTACCTTCAGTCCCTAATCGTTCCACTCAACCTGCTCCTACTGCACCTTCTAATAACGTTCCACTGAATTCAAATGGTCTTAACACTTCAACTCCAGGATCATCTGCTGCAATTCCTGCGTCTCCTCCTGTAATGGCCTCTGTTAGTGCACAGAACACATGTGTCCAACCCCTTCAAGCCAAACTTCCCTCAGATTTAGTTGCTTCTTCAAACGATTCTGTAGATGTAGGAGTGAAGCAAGAGGTTAGTTATTACCACTAATGGTTTACAAGTGAATGGTCTCAAATTGTACTAAAAGTTTGCTGTAATAATTTGGAATTTTTACAGGCACTTATTGAAGATGATGTATTAAGTCGTGATAGTACTGTTGGTGAGAGTATAATTAATACAGTGAGACTGAGCTCAGCCAGTTTGGCTTCAAGCAGCAGCAGTAGTGGTAGCAGTTCAGATCCTCGACCAAAAACAGCTACTCCAACACCAGGTGTGTATCAACATGTTAAATGAGACTAATGTAAGCACAGCAGTTAATTGGAATGTATTTATGATGAATTGTCTCAAGAGTGTCAAATCAGTACCCCCTTTCTACTGCCAAACATATTTTTGTGTTGAGTTCAAAGAAATGGGATATTGGATATCATCTCTTAAACAAGATGATAGCAGCGGTGCAGTTAAACATCTACCTCACACCTATAAGCACCAACTTTTTGACAAAAGATTTGGGTTTGTGGATCCCTGGTTCAAAAAGTGATTTTCTTGCACCTGTATCTAGAATATTACATTGAGTATGTAGAGTAGACTGAATCCACATTTTGTGGGTGCTTGGTCCTGAAAAGGGGATTTTCAACATTGCATCAGTATATATCTGTCTGGTCTGCACTTGTGCCATAGGCTATAGTTTTACATCTACGGGAGTTTTGTACACATAATCTACATCTACTATACATCACTCTTTTTCCCACTAAAGTACACTGGCAATGTAATCTATGTAAACTATTTAGTATTTTACTTAAAATAATCCAAAAAATAAGTAAAATGATATCTGTAACCATCTCGGGGTACAATAGTAATTTTGAATAAGTTCAAGGTCTGATGGAATCATATATAATAAAATGCATAAAAAAGCTGGTGTGACCTATGGAAATAAATGAAGGCCAGTGAACTACATTAAAAAGAAGTTTTTTTTCTTTTTAAGAGTAGTATTGAAGAGTACAACTAGGTCAATATGATCTTTCCAAGGCTCATAAGGAACAAGTAGACATTATTAGGTTAAAAACTAAACACCGCAAAGTGTCTGTTGTAGATTTGATATATACCCCGGTAAACCCGGCCCCAAATGTGATTTCTGTAACGTTCCTCTACATGTACAAGTCCCTATACTGTCCATTATACCACAACTCTGCGAGAAAGTAGCAATTGGAATATGGTTATGAAAAAATTCTGAACACTAAGGATTGTCAAAGGAGAATAATAAGTTTTGTCAATGAAATCAATATCTAGTATAAAGACAGAGACTTAAGTACAGAAAATAGATGGGAGTTTGCAATTTTGTGTTATATGATGACAAAATTAAGTGGTTTATATACATTTTTCAATATGTGAGTAAGTATCGCAATTTTTAGAGAAGTTTGTTAAATGCACAGTGTGATGCTGAAAGCATTGCAAATTTAGTGAGGGAAGTGAATTACGTGTTAAAATATCCAGTATTGAGGAATGTTCCAAAATATTGTACCATCAAAGAGACTAACTTGGGACACTTTTAATGTTTGTATTTTAACCCTGTCTATATGAGTTGGAGGAAGAGATCTTTTTTTACTGCGAAACTTAGGTCACAGTCAGTACTTTAGGAACATGTGTTTAATTTTTTGGAATGTTGGGTTTGTACAACCCTTCAATGTTGGCTAACTTGGGACACACATTTGAATTGTAATTAAAATGGCATATATGAGTAGGCAGGCTAATTTCTGACATATTTATACACTGCAGATATTGCGATACGAGTATAACTGATTTTGATAATAAAATGGCAAATGTCTCATTATAAAAAATTACTTACTACTTATTTTGAACACACTGTAGATATTGTAAAATGAGTATCACTAATTTCCACAAGTAAATGGCAAACGTCATTACAAAACATTACTGATAAGTGACTTATTTTGGAAACAAAGTAAATTTAATGAAAGGCATGTTCGCAAATCAAGAAATCTATCAATAAAAAAGAATATAAATATATTTAATTATATCTCGTTGAAAGACAATACCTAAACAAATAATAAAAAAATGTCTTGGACTGAGAAGTCATCTGATGGTTCATCAGTATATTCTACTAACTTTTCTCTGGCTTCTTGGAAAGACAAAGACTAATCAAAACCGAAGAAGAAAAAATCATGGAAGAAAAATGTAGATTTCACAAGGGGGAAGCATAATAAATGCAATATTCACACACCAACAGATTACAGAGAAAAAGAAAAGAATAAAACTTACCAACATATATACTGGACATTGACTACAAAAAGGCCTATGACAATGTGAATAGACAGACAAAGTTATGGGAAATTCTGAAAGAAAACAGTACTATTATAACGGAGTCTGTAGCAATTTCTAAATAGTTTTAAAAATGACCAAGGTACAACATAGCAGATGAAAATCAAACAAAGGTCTAAGATACGGATGCACACTCTCTTTAACTTTTACTGAAATCCCATGACAGAAACATGAAAACAGAAATACTTGAGCAGGAATAAAGGTAACAAACAACCCAGAATTAGTGACAATATATTCATGGCGACCAATAATAACAGACCCAGAATGATACTACAGAAAGCAGCCTTCAAATTAAGCAAAATAAGCAAAGAATACCTGTAATTGAAAATATCAAGCCAGAAAACTAGAACATTGGCCTTCTACGGCAAGAACATGAAATATGGAGTAGTGTTATGTTTACATGTTACACTGGTCATTGCACAGTTAAGTATTTAAATGTAAGTTCTAGAACAGATCATAAGAATTTATGAGATTACAAGTTAAAGGATAAAATTGTTAACAATATATTGTTTGTTTGTGCACACTTCAAATGTGTATTAATGTCATAAATAGTAAATCAATTTTATTGTTTATAACATGGTTTTACAAGCATCGAACAGTAAAACTATTTCATTGTTTACATTAATACTCTCTCTATTTAGACCAATTAAAACAAAAATTGACAACAAGCAATGTGTAGCCCAGGGACCAGATTTTGTTTTCTGATGCATCTGTTCATGTATTGAAGTCATACAAGTTACCAAAGAGAAGGTACCACTAGGTAGATAAAATAAAAAAAATAAAAAACAACAACAACAACAAAGAAATTAATAATATCATTGCTAAGTGGCAACAGATAGTTATTCTGAAATAAACTACAGATGAAATACTACAGACACAAATTAATTTCAGAAACAAAAACAACCAATGTAATGAACTAGAAAATTGTATGATAATTATAAAAAAGATCCAAACTTGAGGTATTTGAATGCAAATTAAAACCTCGTAGAGTACAAACAAAAAACAGCATTAGTTAATCCTTTCCATGCCTTTCTCCCACTGGGTGGACCATAGCATAATTTCCTGGTCTACTTCTATGGCCCACCCAGTTACCCATATTCTCCCAGTAAAAATCCTTTGTTCCTTGGTGTGGACCAGTGATGTATGGTTGAGCCATCTCATATGACAATATCCATATGCTTTATTGGTTTACTTCTCCCAATGATTCATTTAATTTAACTTGCAATATACTGTATTTTTTTAGTTTCTGCACCGATGTTACTAAATGCAAATAGCAATGACGTCCTCAAATCATGTGCATCTAACAGAGGGAAATAAATTAAGTGGTGCGCAGAGCCTGAGGAACAGACTGAGGTTGCTCAGGGCATCAGCTGATGTTATTGCAGGGCCTCTGACTGGGAGGTCATAGGTTTGAGTACTGATGTTGGCAGGATTTTCGAGACTGACTAGATAGCTAGATAGAGTTCTGTCTCAGGAGAAGAATTCTAGTGGCTGGCTGCTTTTGGGAGTGGTAGTTTCCGTGGATTCTCTGGTCAATATAAGACAAATGCCAGAGCAGCACACTCACAAACGGGCCATGGACTGAACGTGATCTTTTCTTCCCATTCCTTGTCCTATACTACCCCCTTACGCACACACACTTACGCGCACTACACTACCACATGTGTGGAGCTTAGAGCGTGTCCCAGATGAGGCCGTCTTACTGGGGATGGTTGGGGTAGGTCAGTGCCGCATCTCCCCACCCTGTGGGGTAAGGGATCAACTTCCACAAATCTAAACGCTTGTTGTCGAAATGGGCCAATGACTCAAGTTGAAATGTACATGAAGATGATTGAATTACTTTTTGTATTATATAGTACTATTTTGACTACTACATTAATATTATATTTCTCATTCTCTCCCTTCCCTCTCTCTCCTTTCTTGTTCCTCTTTCCTCCCTCTCCCCCTCTCTAACCATATTAAACTGGCCTAATTCTGTGCTAACTTGCTGTCATAAATACTTTTGGGCTTCAAATAACATGCTTGGTGGTATAGTTTGCTGAAAATATGCATTTACGTCTGTCAGTTACATTATTTTTGTTTTCTTTTGCTGTTCCAGAGTTACCTCTTCTCTCTTCATATCCAGTTATGAATGGCCATGCGGTAATGCCTGAGGGAGAGACCAGAGCGTCGAAAGCAGTTTCAGTAACTTCTTCTACAGGTGCCATTCCGAAAAGTATAAGTTTTGATAAAACTGCAGAGCGCGGAGATAAGGTAGGGGCACTTCTGGATTTATGAAGCATAATTACATTTGAATTGCTGTTCCTTTTTTGGTCTTGAGGCAATAATGAAAGGCATTTCATAATTTTTGTAATGTGGGAGAAAAATGAAAAATTGGTATATTTCTTCAATGTAAGTCGTTATCTTGGTCTCAGTAATATTTACATAATTGTATTATTTTTTTTTTGTATTGTTTAAATCCTACATTAGTTACATACCTATGCCACACATCAAACATTTCATTTTGAAGTTTCCACTTTGGTGTAAATGAAAAGCTTAGGCTTCTACAGCTGAAGTCAATGTCTACTTGGCTGTCTGGGAGATACCATTTCCTTGGTAGTAGCCTGTCTGGGAGATACCAAAATATAAATGTTCCTGAGGCAGTTCTCAAATCAGTATTTGAGGTACAGCAGTTTGTGAAAACCATACAGTAAAACCTGTCTGAGTCACAACTTGACAGTTTCTTAAAGAAGTCTGTCTTGCCAGGTTTCTATCTTATTGAAAGTTCACAGAATTTCACCATATATCTTGAGTACAGTATATTCCACAAAATTTTGTCGTTTTAACCATTCAATTTGAATTTTTTCCTTATTTCATAAAATGTTATACATTTGAGTTTTTTTCACTTTGAATATTGCAACTAGATCTTTTCAGAACATTGTTTCTTCTTGTGTCCCTCAATTGCATCCATTTTCGTTTGTTCCAGAAGGGTTTTGCACACACACTTCAAAGACATTTTAACAGCTTTCTTACACTATACTGTTGATGGTCATTGAATTGTGTGGTCTGCCCCCCTTGAACTCTGTAACTTCTATACTAGGATGACAAGACAGGATTGCCGATGACCTACATTAAGGATTCAGAGCAACGGCAATGAAGTCACGCTTGATAATTACACCAAAGCATGAGAAACAGAGCAGGTGTATGAGGAATATTTCACTATACTACCACATATGGTGGGAACTTGGTAGGTGTGGTGCACAGCTGAGGGGGGGGGGAGAGTTACCTAGAGGCAGAAATCGAGTGTGTGTGTAAGTCGGTGTTGGATCTCTCCATCCAGTGTGGGGAAAATACTGCCACCTTTCATAATAAAGCATTCACGACACAAGATTAATTATCTTAGCAGTTGCATGCTGTGAAACATCAGTTAATCAATTTAAATACTAAACCATGTTCAGAACATTTTATTAGTATGATTTGTTAATTAAGATCTACTTCAATCATACTGTGGGATTTTTTATTTATCTATTTTATTTTAATTAACATTGGAAATATTATTTCTTCAGAATCTGCAAAAAGGTCTTTTGAAAAGAAAATACCGGTAGTTTTAATTTGTTAAGGATATAACTGCATTTTGTAACCTTTGCACCACAACCTCAATGAAAGTTGAAAACTCTGCCACTTGCTAGTAGAAGCATTTCCAATTATTGTAAAATGATATATTTAAGAAAAATCTAATTCTCCAGTCATTGATCAGAGGAACAGAATCTCACACACATTTAATGTAGGATTATCAGTCACCATATTTGCTTCTTTATAATTTAATACTCTACATTTGTATACTGCAGATTAGTTTCTCATGTAAGTTTATGTTAATTACCCTCAAGATGTTTATAACAGATTATAAATACTGTATGTACAGCCATTTTATATATGTCTCTATAGTAGTAAAACTTTCTTGCTTCTATGAACATTCCTATCATAATAGCTTAATTATTGAGTAAATCTGTGTTTTTAAAGACTCGCGTCCCAAAGTGTTTTATGATGATTCTGGTACTTTCTTTCCCATTATTCTCATTTATCTCTTCTTATTTGATATCACCATCTCACATTAAATTTTGTTCTAACAAAAAGAAAAAAAAAATCTTGTTTAGGATATGCTGGATGAGGACTCAAAACACAAACGAGGTTTCTTCCGAAATTTCAAATTTCCTTTCAAGCCACGAAGAGTGAAATCTGGAAGGAGCGATGACTCTCGCTGGTATGTACTGTGTTGGAAGACATTGGAAGCACTTTTTTCTTTTCTTTCTTTTCTCCCTCCTTTGAAATACGTTTAAAAATATTGTTCCCTTCTGATAATACTTGGAAACATTGCCTTCCTATAGTTATGAGCCCATGGCAGGTGAAGGTGATCTTCCCCATAGGCTGCGTAGAATGTCAGAAGAGGCTCATTCAACCCGTCACGGTAAGTAATTTTAAATAGTTTTGAGGAAATAGTATTAGATGTAGACTAGATGAGACATTCTCAAAAGCATCACAATCTATCTCATTTTCAAAAACTTGTTTTGTGGCTTCAAATGACTAAATATTTAGCAGTATAGCAGTATTTAGATATTTTACTAGCTGTTTTCTCTCTTTCTCTCTCTCTCTCTCTCTCTCTCTCTCTCTCTCTCTCTCTCTCTCCCTCTCTCTCCCTCTCTCTCTCTCTCTCTCTCCTCTCTCTCTCTCCTCTCTCTGTTTCATTTTATTTTTTATGCATTATTTTTGCATTCATCAAATCATAATCCCCCATCAATTACTCATTTAATTATAACGAATGTGTGTAAGTGACCTTGTTGGATGAGGAATGCGTAGACCTCTTTTAATAAAAAAAATATATTTATAAATTTTTGTTTCTAAAGATACTACAGAAGATATACTTGCAAAATATCGACGAAAACCTAGTACGAGTAGCGAAACAACCGCATCTGAAAATCTGACGGAAGCTAATCCAATCAAAGCAAAGCAACAGAGTGAAGACAGATTGAATATTGATCCTAGGAATATAGAGGCATCAGATGCTTTTGCAGATGCCAAACGCAAGTTGCGAATGGTATTAAGCACTGCTGATCTTCAACATGCCCCATGGAGTTCTGAAAGCGTAAGAAATTTTATAAAAATTAAAATCTATTTTTTTGTTTTTTCTGATATTAGTGATGCTACAAGATCATGAGAATTACATTACATAATAAATATTCATAAAATTTGTTGATGCAAGTGGTCAGTTTTGATTTCTATGGCCAACCTTTATTAATTATATCCTATGTGAAGATGAAGTTGCCAAGAGTCAATGTGAATTTCCATAATGTATGCAGTAATTGTACATGTACATTGTAACAACTTTATGGTATGACCCTCTTCGGTATTCTGAATGAAGTGGAGATGATGTAAATGGGCATGCATCCATGGGTTATTTATGATCTTGCATGTTTGCGAGACTTGCCTATTAGCATATGAAATGTTCTTTCTTTGATGTTGTGGCATTCTGCTTTTATTTGAGGGTTGGCTTAGTATATTGATGTTAGTTGTGTAAAATTAGTAAATTCAAAAATCTTATGTTGTTATTTATTGTTGACAAAGCCAACAGTTATCTGTGCCAGATTGAAGTATCACATTGAATACCATTTTGTGTCCCTAAGGCATTCATTTTTTGTTTCATAGGGCGCTCGATTTTCACCAAAGGAAAATGAATTGGTTTCCTTCCTGCAACTTCAGCTGGCAGAAGCCATTAATTTGCAAGATCACTCGCTTATTTCACATCTTCATGAAACATTGCGTTGTATTCGTCTTTTTGATGATGCAGGGTAAGTAACACCATCTAGAAGATTCTGGAGGATGGAATAATGGGAGAATAATTTCACAAAAATTTCACTACAATTTTCACTACAATTTTACAGCATGTGAAAATATATTAAGTTGTAGTTATTTTGTACTAAATATGATTTTTTATTTTATTTATTGAGCTTAATACTAACATGTATTATACCATTTAACAATGTATTTTTAGTGGAATCGTATTGTTAGGTTAGTGCCTTTTGAATTTCCAACAAAAAAAAAGTTTTCTGTGCAAGTCAGACTATTTCGTAAATGTACAAAAAGCAATGTTTCATACATCACAAGCAGATAATTTCTCCAAACCATGAGAAATGTAAAATCTTTTTATTCTTGCACAGTTCCTGCTTTAGGAATCTTATTTTTATATCATCTTTCTCTTACTTAGTTTTTCTTTTCTTAATGATAATTATTTGTGAAAAGTTATTATTTTCTTTGCAGATGTTGTAAATTATTCCAGTCTCTTCATGATGATTATCAGAAACGATCTCCATATATAGCTTATCTGGTACGATCTCGTAAAGGATTGCTGTCCACACTTGCGCATTTTGAAAGGTAACAATTTCTGTTTTTGTGAAATTAATTTGCAACATTTATTATTATTATTATTATTATTATTATTATTATTATTATTATTATTATTATTATTTTCATTATCATGATCATCATCATCATCATCATAAATTCTGTTATTTGCATAAGTGTCCCTAAGCCTTTATGGCATTGGACATGAGGAGAAATTCTTCTTGAACACATTTTGTCAGTCTTTTGTCAAATCAGTATCATTATCTTTTATTCCTATTGTCAGGGGCTCAGCGTTGTTGGTGTCCGGGGTTCCCAGATGGGAACCCATGGGAACTAGTACTACTTAACTTCCATGACTTCATGGAGCTTGGTTAAGAAGTTCCGCTACCAGCCCCAGAAATTACTGTGAAATTAATTTAATACATGGATATAAGAAATTTTAATTTCAGTTGTTTTGTCCATTTAACTGAACTTGCATCAATCGTTTTTGAGAAGAGAAATGAAATTGATTCTGAATCGGATGAGAGTCTTGGTGTGTTTGAAACATTCCGAGAAACACCTGAAGTTGTAATGAATGAATCAGCGCTAAAGGCTATCCAGGAGATTTTGAGCAATATTCAGTAAAGTTTGGATACTAAATTCACTAATCTGGAAAGGAAGCTGACCGAGGAAGAAGAAAAAGGATTGATGGATATAAATAATAATGCAAAGGCCTATCAAATAAGGTTATAAGGTTAATACTTTTATTGAGCAATTCTAATAACTTCTAACAGGGGAAGGTTGTGGAACTGGGCCCTAGTTCATAAACTGGCAGATACTCAGGCAAACAATACTGGAAGAATTGAAAGACTTGAACAAGATCTGCATAGGAGGGCACTCATTATTAGATGAATCTTTGAAGGAATGGAAGAGTATTGGTTGAGAAAATTTAATATCATTATACACAGCATGGAAGAGTCAAAGAAAGAAGATTCGAAGACACACATCCAAGGATACAGATATTGTGGAAAGAATTGTTGAACATAGAGGTAGAAGAGCAACCTCAACTGCATGTAGTTAAGGTCAACAGATTGGAAAGAATGAAGATTGCTGGACAACATAGTTACAATTCTTTTAATCAGTTAAATTTAAGATGGATAGTTCATCAGTGATTAGGAAGATACTGGTTGAAAACAAGATTTCTCCGAAAGGGATTAAAATTAAAAATGACTTCATACCAATGCAGAGACAGAAGTTGAGG